GTAACAATGCCATCACCATTACCAGTGCATACCTCCACCTAAAATCAACTTTCTTTGCAGTTGTAGAAAATATTTACTTTATGCATCCACCAAAATGTTTTGAAATGCATCATTTTGACCTGCAGCCAGCCGTTGCAGCCCAGTCATCAGACCTAACATCTAACAGCGGCGACACGGAAGGAGATACTTGCACCATCTGCTTTGAGGCATGGACCACTGCAGGGGAACACAGGCTCTCTGCTCTGCGCTGTGGACACCTGTTTGGGAAGACCTGCATTCAGCGCTGGCTCAAGGCTCAGGGCTCAGCTGGTAAATGTCCACAGGTGAGTAACCCCAATAGATCTCAGCGGAAAGTCAATCAGTTAAACAATAATACAACTGCAGGCTTTCATCTTTTTAGCATTTAATAGTTTTCTCTTTTTAGTGCAACAAGAAAGCAAAGCCGTCTGACATTGTGCTGCTGTATGCTCCAAAAGTGAGAGCCCTGGACAACTCTGAGCAAGAGCATTTAAAAAGGTAAACATTTGACTCTTTGTTTCAACGGTAACTTAAGATGTAAGACTAGAAACAAGTGAGGATCACAGTTGCCTCTCTCAAAATACATTTTTGACATAATTTCATAAAGACAATTGCCCATTGGTGAATTGTTTTCGGATACAATCTGGCAGTGGCAAGTGTTAAAGGAAAACATATTGACTCATCGTTACAACTATCCATAACATCTACATGCGGTACCCTGCATACGATTATTTTTATAGAAATTAAGTGTTTTAATCCTGTTGATCAGATTTTATTATTGATCTTACCTGAAATAAGATGATTTAACAGCCAGTTTTAAAAATCCAACAATACATGTTTAAAGAAGTCTTTGCTGCAAATGTTCATGCCATGTCATCTTTATATATCGGTGAAATTGTAAATCTTGTGTGTGTCTGTGTTCAGATCTCTGGAGCTGGAGCAATCTCTGAGGAGGAAAGCTGAACTGGAATCAGCCGAGTATAAACTGAAGTTTCAGGCCGTCACCAGCAAATATGGACAGGCGCAGCAAGAGCTGCAGGTATAAATACCATATATCGTATTTACTTATATATTTTTTTTCCTTTAAACTAAATGTTGGTGTGGTTTAAAAAACTAATTAATAAAATAAAACCATACTGCAGCCTACAAAAATAAATTACGGGTTCTTAGCAGATAACTTCAAGCACAATAACAGCTGATCCATGTTTTAGATTCTGTAAAAAGTCCAATTAAAGGTTTTATGGCTTACCCAATAGAATTACACTCATATTTTTCCCTGTTGCAGCTACATTGTTTTTTAAACCTGCACATCTGTCTGCACTTTTTGTAGGAACTAAAAGCGTTGATGGCCCAGACAGGAAGAAGCTCGGCTTCCCCCTCATGCTCCTCTTCCTTCTCCCCTCTGTTAAGCCTGTCTCAGAGGCTGGAGGGCTCCAGGACCTCACAGTACAGCTTCTCTAAGGCGGTGCTGGTGTCTCAGGCAGGTGGCTGCAGAGTTCTGTCCTACTGTGAACCTCTGTGCTGTCTGCTTGCCTCACAGCCATCCCCTCACTCCACACTAGTGCCAGGTAACTTTCTCACTTCCTATTTTTTTTTTTTCTAATTAGTTTATTTTACTGAATGTGTTTTGCTGCTGTGTTTTGCTGCTGTGTTTTGTTTTATAGAACTTGTTCAACATCTCTCTCTTCCTTAAAATTACTTTTGCATTTTCTTGTCTGAAGTCATTTTAGCTATTTCCTGCTTTTCTAAACTGAAAAAAGAAACACATTTTCCCTTTAAACTTAGTTTTTTGGTATTGATGATTATTTGTAGTTAATAAAGGTACCGTCTCACCATTGTGCTTAATAATAGTGTAACTGTTTATTTATAGTATCTACTGTTGCAGGTCTCACTGCATTAATGAGGCTTTAAAGTAGGGGTGAAATGGGTATCAGTTGAAATAAAATGTTAACACCTAAACCAGTTGCTGTTACACAGATTCCTACTCTTCCTGCATTTATTTAAGTTTGCCCTTTAAATCACAGTGCAAAGCTTGATATTAGAGCTTAGTACTCTAATTGAACTTCTCTGAAGTAATGTTTCCTTTAAATCTTTTTATTCTCCATTAGGTTGTGGAGTGAAAAAGGTGAGCTTGGTCAACATGAAAGCTAGTCAGTATGTTCCAATCCACAGCAAACAGATAAGGGGTCTGTCCTTCAGCAAGGAGAACAACAGTCTGCTTTTATCTGCTGCGCTAGACAACACCATTAAACTAACAAGGTAAGCCTTTCACCATAGTACCTTATAAAAATGGTTTCTCACTGCTTACACCCACTTTACAGATGCTTTGAATTACACTGATGTATATAGAGCTCGGTGTTCCTAAACCTCCGTAAAAGACCCAGACAAAATCTCATTATAGCAGGAAATCTGACAGCGAGGCTCAATCTGAATTCTGGAAATTGGTAAGGACTCTTCTGCTACGTTCACGCCGCATGTGATTGAAGCAGCTGGTTTACATGCAAACTCAATGGTCGACGTGCATCATGGGGCATCAGAATGTCCTGCAGAGCATCTCAAGCAGCTGAAGCTGCGCCTCATGAGGTTCTGACACGCGTCACAAGCAGCAGCTGCTGGAATTGAAAAAATGTTACTTTTAATGCTCGACGAGCCACATCAACCAATCAGAGAAGCTGATATGGGAGATCATATTGATAACCTATCAAAACGTAAAAGCATTGCAAAGCAAGAGATTTATATCTTTAAAAATACCATGTTTACATTATAATTATTTTTATTTATTTTTATTTTTTTTTTAGATTTAGCATCAGATGCTTTGCAGTTTGTAGTGAAACAATGAGATGTTTTCTTTCCTCTGTACTTGTGATATTAGATTAATACTGGAGCTTTACTTGAAACAACAGGCAAAGATAAGTTAAGGGAAATCCAGAGAGTTAAACTGAAGTTGAAACTACTTCAACAGGATTCTCTTTCTGGTTTAGTCATTCTAAATGTCTGTTGTCGTGGCTTTAATCAGAAACACTTGTTTTGCAGTTTACTTACCAACACGGTGGTTCAGACCTACAAAACGGATAAACCTGTATGGAGCTGCTGCTGGTCTTTGGATAATAGTAACTATGTCTATGCTGGTCTAAGCAATGGCTCGGTGCTGGTTTATGACACCAGAGATACCAGCACACACGTTCATGAGCTGGAACCTCTTCGATCCAGGTAAAAACTTCTCTTCCAGTTAGTTATCTTGCTGATGAAGCAGTAGAATTTAACATCTTCATATTACAACTACCCTTCTGTCTGTTATTGAGGCTAAAGTTATGGATCTTTGGTGCTTCTAGGTGCCCAGTTGCATCTTTGTCCTATGTACCACGGGCGGCATCTAGCTCTTTCCCCTGTGGTGGACTTATTGCCGGATCACTGGAGGGTGCTTGTTTCTGGGAGCAGATGAATGAAACCACATACACACCCCATATGCTGCCTCTAGAGAGTGGTGGCTGCACAGATATCCAAGTGGAGACAGAGAGCAGACACTGTCTGGTCACATACCGGCCTGGTAAGACCCCATCTCTATGTTATAATCATTAGACACTGCTGCTAGAACCATGCAACTGAACAACTTATCAGTTTTATCTGCAATCACGTTGATTAAGTGGCAAATTTCAGCTGATGTTACCCCAAGCCACGTAACAAAAAATATTACATTTAGTCAAATAACACTGAAAAAACCCAGTTAACAAAATGCATTTTATGTCATAATTTTGGATGGTCAGATCTAGGGCCATTAATCAATGGATTAATCCATGGATTAAACAGAACTAAGCACTGAAAAACCTGGATGCAGGTCGTGTGAACTGTTGTGACCTGAGTGTTTTCTTTTTAAGCTCAAGGCTGTGTGTAATTAAATGTCATCTATGCTGCAGGACGCTCTCATCCGACTCTACGATGCGTCCTGATGGCACTGACTCGCACCCCTCAACAGGACTCAAGCCAGCTGCCCAGCTGCTCCTGTTCTCCTGTGCAGACATTTAATGCAGGTTCATCCTGCAAATTGCTCACCAAGAACACGGTGTTCAGGAATCCAGACGGACATGGCATGCTGGTCTGCGCTGGGGATGAGGCCTCCAAGTCCACCCTGGTAAGTCTCTGTGTTTGTGCACTCATTTTTTATATGTATTAGGAATGGCTGAACTGTAATTAATTATCAATATATATTACAGAATAACTTTATTCAACAGCAGCAGTAATGCAGCAATTATTAATAATACATACAGAAATAAGACAACAATTGATGGTCTCCCATGCTTTTATTGTGAAATGCTGACAGCTAGTCTTGACAGTTAATAACATGGGGTTGCCAGGGGTAACGGCAGGTCCAAAGTAAAGGGTCTGGGAGGCAGGTGATTTGCTAAATATTAAACAATCATTCCAGCTACTTAATATGGTAAACGTGCCCGCTGTTATATTCATTACTAGCACAGGATGACTTTAACTTTATATCAGGAAACAAGCGCTGCACTGACGTCTGCTGGATGGTGATGGGATGGTGACATCATATATTAATCAAACAATGACTTCACTATAAGCATTAAAAAAAATGTAATGTTATTTAATCCCTCTGATGAGCCATGACTATGAGCTGTCACATAAATACCACAAGACCTATAGGCCAAACTTCTTTCAAAGTCCACACAATACTTTTCTTACCATCATATTTATCATCACCAAAATGATGTGTTCCACAATTTGATTCATTTGTCATGTATTGCTTGAGTATCTCCCCCTAATTATAACTCAAGCAATATTTTATAACATCTTAATAAATAACTTTTTTTTACCATCATCAGCTGAAATTATGATTTCTTAAATTATTCTTTCTTAAAAACCAAATTAAACAACCTTATGTTTTGTACATATTGCAAAGGGCAGGAATAGGAAGGTAACTGGGATTCCCTGTTTGGAAAAAGAAAGTCAAACTTGAATTATTACCCAGGTTATTTTAATTTAAAAAGTTGTGCTATTCACGATAATTCATGGTGCTCCTAAAAAAATTTTCGGGCTCCTAAATGTTGTTATCTGGGAGCACTTGTGCTCCTGGTAAAAAAGCCAGTCCATCGCAGGGCCACACAGAGGCATACAAAGACGAACAACCACACACAGTCAGTCACTCCTAAGGGCAATTTGGAATGTCCGGTCAACCAAACATGCTAGTTTTTTCACTGCGGAGGAAACCCACGAAGACACAGCAAAAACGTGAAAAGGTCCTGGTTCTCCTGGGACTCGAACCCAGAACCTTCTTGCTGTGAGGTGATGGTGCTAACCACCACCCCACTGCTGCCCCAATCAAATTTAAATCAATTGTCCCACACATATTTTTGACAAAGTCTACATATTGAAAGTTTCATTTTAAAGTCACTGATATGCTGATTTGTACTGTATTGTTTCTTTGAGCTTCTATTTCATTCAGATTCTGCCTCTGTCTCTGAATTGGCTAGCACAGCTATTTTTTAATCTTGCTTAATTACAAAGGCATCACGCTGGGTTAAAGAGATAGTTCGGGATTTTTGACATGAATCTGTATGGCATCCCCATCACCAGTGTCATGCAATCACACTGACTTACCCCTGGCAGCATCCTGTGAGCAGAGTTCTC